TTAGAAATGCAGCTGCAGGAAAAAGACAAAGAGGAGACATATGGATGGTGGGCATGGCGGTGCAATGAGCTGTTGCTGAGAACTAGGAAAAACTGTGCGTGAGTATTATGATAAAACTTTGGTAAGTCCGTATTTATTTATATAAAAACTGTTTAATTAAATATAAGATCATTAAGAAAGTCCTAAAATATTACTAACAAACTTTTTTGATTCAATCAAACAAACTGGACGAGGAGACTTTGGAGAGCCTGGAATTGTTTGTTGACGAGTGTTTTGAAAGCTTAGTCATGGGTAAGCCTAAAGAAACATCCGGTGCTGCTAGCAATTCAGCTAACATCCCCAATGCTAAGCGGCATCGACAGGGCAGCTCAGACAGCGTTACTGCACCGTCTCCTGATGATTCAGGTTTAAAGGAGATATTGGAGTCAATTGACCAGAAGCTAACTAGCTTAGACGCCCGACTAGCATTAGTGGAGATGCTACATAAAGAGTTTCAAGGCCTCAGGGAGTCTTTGGAATTCAGTCAACAACAGGTAGCATCACTTGCTAGTGAAAATCAGGAGCTTAGAGGAACGGTAAAACAACTCACCGAGGAGATGACGCTGCTATCCGGGGATAATAAAAAAATAAAAGAATCGATCCTGGATATCCAAGCCCGGAGCATGCGGGACAACCTCGTCTTTTCGGGAATACCGGAGCGAGCGGACGAAGACCCTGAAGCCTCCGTCCGTGACTTCATTCAGAATCAGCTGAAGTTGCCGAGTGACGCGGTTAATTCCATAACTTTTCACCGGGTCCACCGCCTCGGAGGTAAGAAGCCTGGAAGCAATCGGCCGCGGCCGATTGTAGCTAAGTTTGAGCACTATAAACAAAAAGAACAAGTAAAAAGCCGAGGTAGGGAACTGCGTGACACGAACTTTAGCATGAACGACCAATTCCCTGCAGAAATTCTGAGTAGAAGGCGCGTCCTGTTCCCAATTAGGAAGAAAAATATAAACGAGGGCAGAAGAGCT